AAGGCAGAATTGGGGGGGGCAACCTCTGCAAAACCCTAACATGTGTTTCTGTAGAACTGTTAAAATTGCAGGAGTCCTGTCCTCCCTTATGCACGTGCACTCTCATGCCCCTGAGCACAAAATGGCAGATGGATCTGAACAAAATTGACCCATTAAGCAATGAGAAGCTGCCGACGGCTCTTAAGATTGACATTCACAAGTACCTCCCTCAAAAACCTTTGGCCAAGACTCTGAAGGCTTTCTCTCCATGTTGCTGTCTTCCAAATGGTGTTGACACCAATTGGGGGGTTGTGTCTGAACAACAGCCTTCAGTTTCTTCTTGTAACATTGGTTGAACGGAATAGAGATAAGAGTGGAGCAGAAGAGGCAGTCCTCTGAAGACTAATTACGAAGACAAAAAGTGTTGACATTCTCAGGAGCTTGCAAAAGCCCGGGGTGGGGTGTGGTGGGTGGGGTGGGGGCACTGGGAAGAACGATTTACCAGCCATGGCAGCCACGTGTCAGACCAGGAAGGCGAGACTTCTGCATTTGCACCCGTTGTGTAAAAGAGGTTCTTTTCCATTGCTTTGCCATGCAAGCTCTAACCAGCAAGCTCCACAGGAACTTTCCTACAGAAGCAGCTGCACAAGGCATTTGGAACGTAACATGTGGCCTTCCAGCTGTTCTGAAGGACATCTCCCAGCTTCTCTCACTAGTGCTGGCTGAGATGGCTGGGACTTACAGTTTCATAATATCTGAAGATGGGGCCCTACAGAAGGTATCCATCAGGCCTTGCAAACACTGCCTGCTGATAATGGGGGCAAGGAGGGCAATTCCTGGTACCAACACCCCACAGGAGACCGTGTGGTAAAGAGGTGCTCATGACAGTGCCTTAACTGTGGTTGTTGTAACCATGATTTCTTGAATCCATAGTGGCTGGATTCATGCAGCACTCTGAGCCATCAACTGGACACACCATGGCTTAGTAAGACACACGGAGCCAGCTGGTTTCCCCACAAGCATATAAGTGATGAGATACAGACCACCATTAGTCATGCATTAAATCTCACCCAGCATCTCTAAGGGACTCAGAGAGAAACCGCAGAGGAATTCAGGTATCTGTACAGATTCTCTATCATGGAGGTGGGGCGGAGGCAAAACTCAACACTCCCTCTCCTACCAGGAGACATTTGCAATAACCACCACAGGGTTGCAAAATACTCTGCTTTTAGCAATCCTAAAATAGAAATCCTATTATTCACTTGCTGCAAATTAACCAAGGGCCAAAGATGGCATTTCGGTCATAAAGTCACCTGCCATCCACAGACTTTAAGCTTCTTAGCCTTGGAGATATTACAGCTCCCTCCCCCGCCCCCCCAGCATGTCTTCCCCAATAGATTTAACTGCAAAAAAGCAGATTCAGTGGTCTGGGAACACGTCTCATTAAATGCCATTAAAACTTGCCTTTGGGGATTGTGCTGGTGGCACGTGCTCCAGCAGCTGGATCAGCTGGCACAAGCTGCCCGTTGGGCAAGGTTGGAGGTCCCTTAACACGAGCCTTGGAGTGTTTTGCCTTGCGGAGAAGTACCCTGACATGCCAGTGTTAACTGGAATCAGACAATTTGCCTTCCTGCCTGCTTCGCATACAAAAAGCTCTGGAGGAACTGGCTAGGCTCACTCTGTTCCTTCTGAGTTCAGCCGAGAGCTACCAAAAGACCCTGGGTAATTCGCAGCAACAGTTGTGGAGTAAACAAACTAGTCCCGGGAGGAGCCCTTTTTCCTTTTTCTTTTAAACTTGGCTTTGGGGGCCCGAATTCCTCCAAGGAATTCTTCTTTGGCTTTGCTTCCCTACGAGGGATCAACACGCACACGAACGGTTGCCTGCCAAGCGAAGGGGCTCAAAAAGGGGCATCCGGCGCGCAAGGCCAAAGCTCGCTCCGGTTTCGCCAGTCACACGGACGACGTCCGATGTCGCGGGAGACCCTCCCGTAAAGCGGGCGAGGACGCAGCGCACCCCTCCCCAGCGACGAACCCCTTCGCAGCCCCGCGGAAACGCTCTTCTCGTTCCTTGCATTCCGTTCCGAAGAGTTTCCCCCGCTCACCCCCACCCGCTCGGCCATCGCCCAGACGGGCCTTCCTGCCCACGGTGGCAAGGAATCCCCGCTGAAACCTCCAAGCGCAGCCAGCGGGGATCCCCCAGACTTGCGCTTCAGCACCCGCAGGGCGCGGGGCCCTCCCTTGCCAGGGCGGGCAGGGGCGCTCTCCGCGCGCCCGGAGGTGGTGCAGCTGGAAAACCACAGACCAGCGGCAGAGAAAATCATGCTGGGTTGGACATTCGGGGCCCCGAGAGAGGCAGCCCCCTCCGGGGCCGCTTTGGGGCAAGAAGGCTCCCCCACCCCCGGGAATCCCCATCCGATCGCCAGCACGCCGGGCCGGGCCAGCGCGCGCCGCCGATCGACCGCCCCTCTCCCGGGTTCCCCGCTCCGCGCCCTCACCTTCGAACTTGAGCGTCTCCCGCTGCCCGCGGCTGCCCTTCTCCG